GATATACCTGGGAACCCTACTCTGCACTGGGGCATTATAAATAAAAAAATAAATATGCCATTTAGCAGACGCTTTTATCCAAAGCGACTTACAGTCGTGCGTGCATTCATTTTTTTTGTGTATGGGTGGTCCCGGGGATCGAACCCACTACCTTGGCGTTACAAGCGCCGTGCTCTACCAGCTGAGCTACAGAGGACCACGATTATCTGAGCAGACACCTGCCTACTGCTGCTTTCATCCTTCCACTTCACATTGTGCCTTGGATGTTTTTAGACTACTGTCAAACTTGACCTCCACTTGGATGTACTCTTTTGGACTCTCCCGCGGCCTGGTGTAGCGCTTGCCTCCCTCCCAGCTTTCCACCGGCCTGTACTGGAAACTACATCCCCTCCAATGTGCTTCTCTCCTGGCTATCATACTGGTAACACGGCCTCCGTTTCATTGCTGTTTTGATGGGCCCCAGCATTTCATCGCACTGAGTATGTCACCGCTCTCTCCTTGATGTTGTTATGCTGGCGTGTTTTGTACCTTGGTTGTGTTTATTTTTGGTCCTAGTGCTGGCTGGATTTTAGTCTGTGGTTGGGTTCTGGCTTGCTGCCTATAACTGTGGTGATCCCACAAACTGTGTGATTCAATCTAACTATCTCACTGTGTGGATTTATTGACTTTTATGTGATTCATCGCCAACCTATTTTATTTGTGTGGATTTAAACGTAATTTTTCCAAAATGGTGACTACCACTTTCTGCCTTACGGGTAAACTGACATGTTCCAGATTGGCTGCTACCACCTTCAGAGACTACAGTGAACGTTTCATCCCATGTGGAGCTGCAATTGGCAACATTTTCAGTGTGGAAACTGTCAGCTTATTCAGGAATATATGTCTGAGCTGGCCGTCCAGATCAAGCAAATTGAGACATTGCAGTGTATCCTGGATAGGTCACACTCTAAGACCTTTTCCTTTTCTACTCCTCAGCCTGGTCGTCGTGCCACTGCCTCGCCACTGTGTTGACACTCTCTGATTGACTGGCCAGGGCTGCCCTGCAGAGACCCCTCAATAGTGAAACTCTAAGCCCCCCTCCCTGTTCGGAGGGCTTCTATTGAAAAGGCAGGATGTCCACGGCCACTCACCTTCCTCCAGCCATCATCATTTGTAGTTCCATGGTGAGGCACATCTTGGTTCCTGGAGCTAAAACCCTGTGCTACCTGAGGGCTATGGTGAAGGATATCACAGGATTTCTTCTGTCCGTCCTACATCAGCAGCCAAGGGCTGCCGTTGTTGTGGTGCATGTGGGATCAAATTATATAAAAAAGGGTAAATCCGAGCTAATGAAACAGGATTTTATTGAGCTGATCAACACCCTAAAAGGCTCTGAAAAGCAGCCGATTATCTCTGGTTACGTGCTGTCGCTGGGTGGCAGCTGCGAAAAGGTTCAGCAGGCTCTTAGCACTTCATATCTGGCTTAAATACTACTGCCACTCTGTTGGCATAACTTTTATTGACAATTTCAACACTTTTTAGAAAAAAAAAGATGCTCTACAGGGATTATGGACTCCACCCAAACCATCTAGGAGTCTGGACCCTCTCTTCACATTGCAAGGCCGCGTTAAGATATTGAGTCAGAGACAGACCAAGCCCCTGCTCAGGTAATACCTCCCATCCTCGCTAAGCGTTATTGTCGTACTGTTGGCTATGTATACTGCCAGGGGTGTTGTCAGTTCTAATCTTGTACCCATTCGTTTGAACTCTTAGATCTGCTTTTGTTTGCTCAAAAGAGGAGCCCACTGTGGTCTCACCCAGTGCTTTTAGTTCAAATGTGAATTCCATAAACTTAAATACCCCCTCGGTTTTCAAATCACGTAGAGGGCTTGGGCTGTTGCACGATAGCAACCAAAGCCCAAGTAAGTCAGTTTATAACATTCCATCATTGACATTGGCTGAGGCCTCAGGCCCTATGGTGCTAACCTTGGAAAAGTAATTCAAATTTCTTCTCCTTCCTCTATTACTAATAGGGATACACCAAATGATGCAATTCTATGCAATCTTTTAGCCATACCAACTATATCAACATCAACCATCAGACAGGGCCTGCAACCGCCTACTGGACATAGCTTGTTTGAGTTGGAGACTCCATGTGACTCTAAAAAGTGTAAAGGACTTGGGTTGATGCATCTCAACTTTAGGAGCTTACTTCCTAAACTAGATTACATTAAGATCTGGGCTATCCTGATGAATCCGGACATTCTGGTATTCACTGAAACATTCTGGACTCTGATATTAATATTGAGGGTTGTCATGTGTTCAGAGCTGACAGACAGGGTAGAGGTGGTGGAGTGGCCATTTTTATAAAAAATAATTTCTCTGTCTCTTTACTGAAATCCATTTCCCTTGCCAAAAAATGTAAGCTACTATCTTTAAGCCTTTGTCTGGGGAAAATGTATCCATAACTGTTATAGCGGTCTACCGTCCTCCCTTGACTAACCTTTGTGCACTAAAGGAGTTAACTAGTTATTATACTGGGTGACCTGAATTATGATTGGGAAATGCAGGCTTCAGACAATGTGTAATGATCTAAACCTAACCTAGCTGGTGACTAAGCCTACAAGGCCCAACCCTAAAGATCCTTCAAAGTCAACTCTTATTGATCATATTTTAACGAATACACCAGAGAAATATGTTTCTACTGGTGTCTTCGCCCAAGACATTAGTGACCATTGCCCAGTTGTTTGTGTTAGGATTGTGAGAATACTAAAATCTAAGTTTGTGTCATCACGAAGAGGAACTATAAAAACATAAGTGAACATGCTTTTTTAGACAATCTTTATTTTAGTGACCTTGATTGTATTTCAGCTGTCCCTGAACCTGGTTTAGCTTTGAGCCTCTTTGCAGATGTCTTCAATACTATTGTGGATAATCATGCTCCCTTCAAAAAATTAAGGATTAAAGGTAGATCGAATGCCTGGTAGCAGAAGTAATTCATAAAAGAGGTGATGCTTGGGTCAAGGCCAGGAACACAGGCTTAGATCCGGACTAGCAAGCTTTTAAGCAACTGAGGAATCATTCTGTAAAAATAATCTGAAAGGCTAAATCCGATTATTATGTAACCGCTCTATCAGATTGTAATGGAAACTCGGCTAAATTCTGGAAAACTCTCAAGTCCCTGAAGGGTTCTACTTCCTCCTCTCTGCCACGACAAATTAATTCAGACACTGGCCTCATTACGGGAAAAAAATGCTATCATTGATTAATTTAATCACCATTTATTTCAGCAGACTATCTCTTTGAAATAACTTCTAAGCCTATTCACAATTATATTGGGCTGGATGCTGATAAGGGAAACTTGCTGAATGATCAGAGACATGATAGTCAAAGCTTTTCTTTTAGACTATTTACAGAAAAATAAGTCCTAGACAACAAGAAATCCACAGGAGCCGACCAGTTGGATCCTGGTCTGCTTAAGTGTGCAGCGCCCATCATTGTTGGCTCAATAACCCACATTTTTTTAAATGTTATCAGGAATATCCCGAAGAATGGAATTGTTCTTTTTCATAAGGGGGGGATAATAAATTCTTGTCAGAATGGAGTGTGGAGTGGGAAATCAGCCAGGACAGGCATAGTCAACAGACTTGATCCAAAAATCTCCAACTACTGCCAACCCACGGGAGGCATGACAATCGCACACACACACATCGTAAATAGTAGAAAGCGACGCGTGCGGACTCTCAAAAAAAACACATGGAGGAAACCACAAAGCTAATGACAAAATCTTGACCAAATCGATAACTAAATGGAAACCAAACATCACGGGACAGTTGTACAACGACAAACCAAACAACATGACATCCGTGTAGCTATACTCGGGGAACGACCGCGAAGCCTGTCGAAAAGGAGGAGGAGCAGTCGGCGAAACCAAGATCTATTTATCGGCCATTTAATGCTTCCTTTTAACTAAGATCTCGATCTGGTAAGTACATTGCTTTTTTCTGAGCATGTATTTGAATGTAAACCAATCAGGGTTTAGGCCTGGGCATATGAACTATTACAGCATCCACTTTAGTTGTTAATGATCTTGTCAGTGCTATAGACACTAAAATGAAATGTGCTGCTTTGTTTGTGGACTTGTCAAAAGATATTGATATTGGTGATCATGCTATTTTATTGACTAAATTGCCCTCGATAGGCCTGAGCTCTGACGCCTGTTCATGGTTTCATGAATATCTTAGTGACAGAACTCAGGCCAGTGTGATTGATGGGGTTAAGTCTGAATTTCTTTAAGTGCATAAAGGTGTACCACAGGGGTTGATTTTGGGACCTGTTCTCTTCACTATTTATATAAACACCATTGGTCAATCTGTTGAAAATTTAAAACTTAATCTACAGTATATGTGGATGATACTATTATGTATGCTGTTGCCTCAACTGTTGATCTGGCTTTGTCAAATCTACAGTCAGATTTTATAGCTATGCAGGAATCCCTTGTTGATTTAAAACTTGTCCTTAATATGGCAAATCAAAATCCATGTTGTTTTTTAAACTATCGTAAGAATGTTTAAGATGAATTACATGTTCACTCATTAAATGATTCTCCATTTGAACGTGTTCCCGCATATAAATTCTTAGGCATTTGGATTGATATGGATTTGACGTTTAAAAAACATATGGATGAGCTGTTTAAGAAGCTAAGATTTAAAGTTGGCTTTTTCTACAGAAACAGATCGTCTCTTTCTCTAAGTAGTAGGAAGCAGATTATTCAGTCAACCTTTTTGTCTCTTCTTGATTATGGTTATATTATTTATCAAAGAGCAGCTGCTACTACTCGTAAACCTTTGAATGCCATCTACCATAGTGACCTTTGTTTTGTTACAGGCGACAGTTTTGATACTCATCACTGTATCCTGTATCAAAAGGTTGGCTGGACTTCGCTAAAGACCCGTAGATCTCTACATTACTCCCTTTTTGTTTACAAGGCCCTACTTCATAAACTTCCGCGTTATCTAACTATGCTATTGAAGTATAGACACCTGAGTCTTAAGGTTCCTAGGGTCTCCACCAAGCTAGGTAAATCTGCCTTGAGTTGTATTGCACCGTATTGCTGGAACAAAATTCATCTTGATTTTCTGGTGCCGTTCGGGCAATTTAAAGTATTGATTGGGGATTTATTTGTGGTAACTGTTTTTCTGGGTGATTTGTGACGTTTTATTTGTTTATTTGTTTTATTTGTTTTATTTTGTGTATAATGTGTATTTTTATATTGTGTTATAAAGGGCACATTTGGAAATAGACCTAGGTCTCAATAATCTTCACTGTCAAAATAAAGGTACAAGAAAACGTGAGGAATCAAGGAAATGCAATTAAAATTCCTCCCCTTGTTTCCCCCATTCCCCCACAAAGTACATTGGGGAGAGGAGTGAAGGTTCCTCCCCTCAGGCTACAATGCACTTTCAAGGAGAGGAAACAAGGACAGAGGAAGCAAGAATCTGACCGCTAGCTTTCACACACACACACACACACACACACACACACACACACACACACACACACACACACACACACACACACACACACAATGCTTGAAGAGTTTACTGATTATAATGATTTCATTATTGGTTATTATTATTGTCAATGATTTTGTTGACAGAACCCATTGTATTATATTATTGTGTTTTATTATATCAACTATTAAAACATATAGAAATGCTGTTGTTTCTCTTTTTCATTCTTCAGGAATATTTAGTATGGCTATAAATGATAGAGAAGTTGACTAAAGCACAAAAAGACCTGGCAACTAGGCATGACAAAGAAACATGCAGTGTCTGTTTCTTGTGACATTTTCAATAACGTGTACAGTCGTGGTCAAAAGTTTTGAGAATGACACAAGTATTGGTCTTCACAAAGTTTGCTGCTTCAGTGTTTTTAGATATTTTTGTCAGATGTTACTATGGTATACTGAAGTATAATTACAAGCATTCCATAAGTGTCAAATACCTTTCTTTTTCAAGACCTCTGCAATCCGCCCTGGAATGCTGTCAATTAACTTCTGGGCCACATCCTGACTGATGGCAGCCCATTCTTGCATAATCAATGCTTGGAGTTTGTCAGAATTTGTGGGTTTTTGTTTGTCCACCCGCCTCTTGAGGATCAACCACAAGTTCTCAATGGGATTAAGGTCTGGGGAGTTTCCTGGTTATGGACCCAAAATTCCGATGTTTTGTTCCCCGAGCCACTTAGTTATCACTTTTGCCTTATGGCAAGGTGCTCCATCATGCTGGAAAAGGCATTGTTCATCACCAAACTGTTCTTGGATGGTTAGGAGAAGTTGCTCTCTGATGATGTGTTGGTACCATTCTTTATTCATGGCTGTGTTCTTAGGCAAAATGGTGAGTGAGTCCACTCCCTTGGCTGAGAAGCAACCCCACACATGAATGGTCTCAGGATGCTTTACTGTTGGCATGACACAGGACTGATGGTAGCGCTCACCTTGTCTTCTCCGGACAAGCTTTTTCCCGGATGCCCCAAACAATCGGAAAGGGGATTCATCAGAGAAAATGACTTTACCCCAGTCCTCAGCAGTCCAATCCCTGTACCTTTTGCAGAATATCAGTCTGTCCCTGATGTTTTTCCTAGAGAGAAGTGGCTTCTTCGCTGCCCTTCTTGACACCAGGCCATCCTCCAAAAGTCTTCGCCTCACTGTGCGTGCAGATGCACTCACACCTGCCTGCTGCCATTCCTGAGCAAGCTCTGCACTGGGGGTGCCCTGATCCCGCAACTGAATCAACTTTAGGAGATGGTCCTGGCGCTTGCTGGACTTTCTTGGGTGCCATGAAGCCTTCTTCACAACAATTGAACCTCTATCCTTGAAGTTCTTGATGATCTGATAAATGGTTGATTTAGGTGCAATCTTACTAGCAGCAATATCCTTGCCTGTGAAGCCCTTTTTGTGCAAAGCAATGATGACGGCACATGTTTCCTTGCAGGTAACCATGGTTAACAGAGGAAGAACAATGATTTCAAGCACCACCCTCCTTTTAAAGCTTCCAGTCTGGTTATTCTAACTCAATCAGCATGACAGAGTGATCTCCAGCCTTGTCCTCATCAACACTCTCACCTGTGTTAACGAGAGATTCACTGACATGATGTCAGCTGGTCCTTTTGTGGCAGGGCTGAAATGCAGTGGAAATGTTTTTTGGGGATTAAGTTCATTTTCATGGCAAATAGGGACTTTGCAATTAATTGCAATTAATCTGATCACTCTTCATAACATTCTGGAGTATATGCAAATTGCCATCATAAAAACTGAGGCAGCAGACTTTGTGAAAATTAATATTTGTGTCATTCTCAAAACTTTTGACCACGACTGTACAGTAGATGTTTTGTTGTTGCTAGGTGGAGTTATGGTCTTGTTGTGCCTACCTATACTTTTATTCCTGTAACTACACATGTGAATCTGCAAGAAAATCGTATTTAAATGTCTTTCAAACCATTTTGAAATGTTGACCCTTATGTCACACATTGGCCTCTTTATTTATAGAAAGACCCACATGCCTGTTTGTGTGAGGGCAGCTTGGCTTGCAGGTAGGGAGGGTGGGTTCACCGCTCCTCCCAGTCAGTACAGTACTGGGCTGAACCCATTTCACACCCATGCCAGTGATGTAAAGTACTTAAGTAAAAATATTTTAAAGTACTATTTAAGTCTGTTTTTTTTTTGGTATCTGTACTTTACTTTACTATTTATATTTTTGACAACTTTTACTTTTACTTCACTACATTCCTAAATAAAATAATGTACTTTTTACTGCATACAGTGAGGGAAAAAAGTATTTGATCCCCTGCTGATTTTGTACGTTTGCCCACTGACAAAGAAATGATCAGTCTATAATTTTAATGGTAGGTTTATTTGAACAGTGAGAGACAGAATAACAACAACAAAATCCAGAAAAACGCATGTCAAAAATGTTATAAATTGATTTGCATTTTAATGAGGGAAATAAGTATTTGACCCCCTCTCAATCAGAAAGATTTCTGTCTCCCAGGTGTCTTTTATACAGGTAACGAGCTGAGATTAGGAGCACACTCTTAAAGGGAGTGATCCTAATCTCAGCTTGTTACCTGTATAAAAGACACCTGTCCACAGAAGCAATCAATCAATCAGATTCCAAACTCTCCACCATGGCTAAGACCAAAGAGCTCTCCAAGGATGTCAGGGACAAGATTGTAGACCTACACAAGGCTGGAATGGGCTACAAGACCATCGCCAAGCAGCTTGGTGAGAAGGTGACAACAGTTATTGTGATTATTCGCAAATGGAAGAAACACAAAATAACTGTCAATCTCCCTCGGCCTGGGGCTCCATGCAAAATCTCACCTCGTGGAATCAGCCCAGAACTACACGGGAGGATCTTGTCAATGATCTCAAGGCAGCTGGGACCATAGTCACCAAGAAAACAATTGGTAACACACCGTGAAGGACTGAAATCCTGCAGTGCCCGCAAGGTCTCCCTGCTCAAGAAAGCACATATACAGGCCCATCTGAAGTTTGCCAATGAACATCTGAATGATTCAGAGGAGAACTGGGTGAAAGTGTTGTGGTCAGATGAGACCAAAATCGAGCTCTTTGGCATCAACTCAACTCGCTGTGTTTGGAGGACGAGGAATGTTGCCTATGACCTCAAGAACACCATCCCCACCGTCAAACATGGAGGTGGAAACATTATGCTTTGGGGTGTTTTTCTGCTAAGGGGACAGGACAACTTCACCGCATCAAAGGGACAATGGACGGGGCCATGTACCGTCAAATCTTGGGTAAGAACCTCCTTCCCTCAGCCAGGGCATTGAAAATGGGTCGTGGATGGGTATTCCAGCATGACAATGACCCAAAACACACGGCCAAGGAAACAAAGGAGTGGCTCAAGAAGAAGCACATTAAGGTCCTGGAGTGGCCTAGCCAGTCTCCAGACCTTAATCCCATAGAAAATCTGTGGAGGGAGCTGAAGGTTTGAGTTGCCAAACGTCAGCCTCGAAACATTAATGACTTGGAGAAGATCTGCAAAGAGTGGGACAAAATCCCTCCTGAGATGTGTGCAAACCTGGTGGCCAAGAAACGTCTGACCTCTGTGATTGCCAACAAGGGTTTTGCCACCATGTACTAAGTAATGTTTTGCAGAGGGGTCAAATACTTATTTCCCTAATTAAAATAAAAATCAATGTATAACATTTTTGACATGCTTTTTTCTGGATTTTTTTGTTGTTATTCTGTCTCTCACTGTTCAAATAAACCTACCATTAAAATGATAGACTGATCATTTCTTTGTCAGTGAACAATCGTACAAAATCAGCAGGGGATCAAATACTTTTTTCCCTCACTGTACATTATCCCTGACACCCAAAAGTACTCGTTACATGTTGAATGCTTAGAAGGACAGGAAAATGGTCGGATTCAAGCACTTATCAAGGGAACATCCCTGGTCATCCCTAATGCCTCTGATCTGGCGGACTCACTAAACACACATGCTTCATTTGTAAATTATGTCTGAGTGTTGTAGTGTGCCCCTGGCTATCCATAAATAAATAAAAACAAGAAAATGGTGCCATCTGGTTTGCTTAATATAAGAAATATTCAATGATTTATACTTTTACTTTTGATACTGAAGTATATTTTAGCAATGACATTTTACTTTTGATACTTAAGTATATTTAAAACCAAATACTTTAAAACTTTTACATAAGTAGTATTTTACTAGGCAACTCACTTTTACTTGAGTCATTTTCTATTAAGGTATCTTTACTTTTACTCAAGTATAACAATTGGGTACTTTTCCCACCACTGGTTCCTGCATTGGCCTCGGCCCTTAAGCCAGCTCTCTAATCTGTACCCTGCATTGCACGCCAGGCCACCGGTTATTATGGAACATTATGGGGCCTGTAGGGCAAATGGATGTCAAATCTTTGGTCTATTTATCCTTTTCTTTTGTACTGTTATGGGCAGGCTCTTAATTCAACAGATATTGTTTCTTATTTGAGACTTGATTACAATGGTCTCCAGTTTTCAAGTAAAAGCCAGAGATTCCAGAGAAAAGGAAAGCCAACATAACCAACTACATGTAGACTGTATGCTATCATCATGTCGTGTTTTGTCTGTCGGTCTATTTTGCATAATATTCTAGGATCTTAGGCTAAACCACCACATTGTGGTGCTGTTTACCATAACTCCCTGCCTCTCCTCTCTCCTCCATATCCTGGCCATGTCTCTTATCACAGTCAAAAGAAATTAATGCTTTCCCCACCAGCGACTCACAAAACAGCTGCCGCCGAACTTCCATATCTGCCCCAGCCATGCTCTCTCTCTCTGTCTGCCCCCCCATTAACATTAAGGACAGACACATCTGGACCACCACTTCTGGTGTCTGCTGCCCACTTTGGTCACGCTGGTCTGGTCTGGCTGACTGACACGCCCTGGGTACACCCTGTCATGCCAGCTTTGGGACAAGGGTCTCTCTTCTGGGATGGTGGCTGGCAGCAGCTGCCCAAACCCAGGGGGGGTGGGGGGGCATCCTCTCCCCTCTCCCAAAGAAGGGATTGGGCCCCAGAGGGAGTGCCGCAGGAGGGCAGGCACAGATTTGGGGAATCCCAGCTGGTTTTAGAATTGGGTTGTGTGTTGGGTTAGGAAGGAGCTGCTGGGAGTAGATAGGCTGGTATTTTGGAGCAGTTAGTAATAGGGGTCTGATGACTGGTGAGAGGTGGAGGAAATGCTACTGGAGAATCAGAGTAACATCTTGTCTCAGGGCAAGATGCAGACGTGTCATATACAGTGCCTTCAGAAAGTATTCATACCCCTTGACTTATTCCACATTTTGTTGTGTTACAGCCTGATTTCAAAATGGATGCACAAAAAAATAATCTCACCCATTTACACACAATAACCCATAATAACAAAGTGAAAACATGTTTATAGACATTTTTGCAAATGTATTGAAAATGAAATACAGAAATATCTAATTTACATAAGTATTCACACCACTGAGTCAATACATGTTAGAATCACCTTTGGCAGCAATTACTGTGAGTCTTTCTGGGTCTTTAAGAGCTTTGCATACCTGGATTGTACAATATTTGCACATTATTCTTTTTTATATTCTTCAAGTTCTGTCAAGTTGGTTGTTAATGATTGCTAGACAGCCATTTTAAAGTCTTGCCATAGAATTTCAAGATAATTTAAAAAGTCATAACTGTAACTAGGCCACTCAGGAACATTCAATGTCATCTTGGTAAGCAACTCCAGTGTAGATTTGGCCTTGTGTTTTAGGTTATTGTCCTGCTGAAAGGTGAATTTGTCGCCCAGTGTCTGTTGGAAAGCAGACTGAACCAGGTTTTCCTCTAGGATTTTCCTATGTGCTTAGCTCAATTCCATTAATTTTTTATCCTGAAAAACTCCCCAGTCCTTAACGATTAGAAGGATACCCATAACATGATGCAGCCACCACTATGGTTGAAAATATGGAGAGTGTTACTCCGTAATGTGTTGTACTGGATTTGCCCCAAACATAAAAATTTGTATTCAGGAGAAAAAGTTAATTGCTTTGCCACATTTTTGCAGTATTACTTTACTGCCTTGTTGCAAAAAGGATGCATGTTTTGGAATATTTATATTCTTTACAGGCTTCCTTCTTTTCACTCTGTCAATTATGTTAGTATTGTGGAGTAACTACAATGTTGTTGATCCATCCTCAATGTTCTCCTATCACAGCCATTAAACTCTGTAACTGTTTTAAAGTCACCATGGTGAAATCCCTGAGCGGTTTCCTTCCTCTCCGGCAACTGAGTTAGAAAGGACACCTGTATCTTTATAATGACTGTGTGTATTGATACACCATCTAAGGTGTAATTAAGAACTTCACCATGCTGATATATGTCTGCTTTTTTATATTTACCTATCTACTAATAGGTGCCCTTCTTTGTGAGGCATTAGAAAACCTCCCAGGTCTTTGTTGTTGAATCTGTGTTTTAAATTCACTGCTCGACTGAGGGACCTTACAAATAATGTGTGGGGTACAGAGATGAGGTAGTCATTCATAAATCATGTTAAACACTATTATTGCACAGAGTGAGTACATACAACTTTTTCTGTGACTTGCTAAGTTTTACTCCTGAACTTATTTAGGCTTGCCATAACAAAGGGGTTGAATACTTATTGACTCAAGACATTTCAGCGTTTCATTTTTAATTAATTTGTAAACATTTCTAAATGTTGTGTGACAAAAAAATCAAAATGTAATCAATTTTAAAATCAGGCTGTAACACAACAAAATGTGGAAAAAGTCAAGGGTTTTGAATACTTTCTGAAGGCACTGTATATTCCATGTGGTCAGATGATGCTGGTGCTGGAAGAAGCTAGCAGTGATCTGCCTGTCTCTGTCACTGTGGTTGATTCATTAGTGGCCATTTTAATCCCAGTCAATGGCTGTGGATGGATCATCCCTGAGTAATGATGCCCATAACGGATTATCCTGCCGGCAATTAGCCTCCCATCCAGCCTCTCTCTTCTCTAAACCTCAGACCTGGGTTCACTTCAAATACTATTTGAAATCTTTCACATACTTTACTTTGAGCATTTGCTCTAGTCTGCCTGGAGTGACAGATGTGCAGGGTTATCCGTTTTGGGACTATTCTATTGGACAATTAAGCCAGTCAAGCTGCAATGACTTCAAATAGTATTTGAACCCAGGTCTGGTAAGCCCCAGACCCAAGCGGGTCCATGGGGGACTGGAAGAATGAGATTTACATTGTGGTCCCATTATTAGATAGCAACGTGGATTCCTTGTTGAAGGAGTGTCAAGGAGGCTAAAGCTGTTATAATGTGTATTTACAACGGTGTGTATGTGTGTGTTTATGCATGTTTTTCATCAGGTCTGATGATTAAGGCATCAAGATGAAAAATCTGTTGGTCTTAATAGCCTAACGAAGAAGCATTTTTTAAATATACTTCCTTTGTCCTCCACATGTGGCTGAATATCCTTCTCCTCTTCTCCTCCTTCTCAGGTTCCATCCTGGGGTTCATGCTGGGTGTGTTCCAGATCGCTCTAAATGAGTGTGAGGAGCTCTACAGGAAGCTGGGTTCTGACGTCTTCAAGCAGAACGTCATCGTTGGCACCGTCAAGATGGGCTGGAGCCACGCCTTCTACGACTCAGAGACCTGTGAGCAAATCCTCAAGTGAGTATGGAATAGAATAGAATAACTTCATAAATTTAGAACAGCACAGCACCTCAATTCGTCTCAAAGTGTATTGGAGGAGATTATCAAAGGTCCCTTCCTCGGTATGGATGAAACAAGAACAGAGGAAGCAAGGATTGATTTGAAGACTAGTGACATTTTCAGGCACAGCCTCCGAGTAACAAAGCTCTCCTCTTTCCTTCTGTCCCACAGAGAGAAAATGGGCTCTGATCTGATGGTGGAAACATCAAGAAACCCCAAATGCCCAAAGGTAAGCTTTGTCACATGGCATGACTCATTACACTGTCTGGAGTGTGGAGCTGGTGATCACACTCACTCTCTCTCTCTCTCTCTCTCTCTCACACACACACACACACACACACACACACACACACACACACACACACACACACACACACACACACACACCCTCATGGATGGCAAGGAGAACAGTGAGAAGGAAGGCCCTCACAGTCTCTTAAAGGTCCAATGCAGCCGTTTTTATTTCAATATCAAATCATTTCTGGGTAACAATTAAGTACCTTACTGTGATTGTTATCAATTATGGTCAAACATATACAAAAATAGCTTCTTAGTAAAGGGCAATTTCTCAAGCAAGAATTTTGCTAGGACTGTCTGGGAGTGATCTGAGTGGGGAGGGGAAAACGGAAAATGTTATTTTATTGGCAGAAAGATTTGGAACTCCCTTTCTTATTAGGGTGTTTTCACACTTGGTCCCTTTCAGCAAACATGTTTAATTCTCCAAAGGAACTCAAACCCCTCAAAAGAGCCCTCGAAACGAACCGAACTGAGACCATCTCGAGAGGTGGTCTGAGTTTGGTTCGCTTGAATTCCGCATTCCGGTTCCCTTTTTTAGGGCAATGTGAACATAAAGCTCCCCAGGTTCCCTTGTCATTATTCCCGCTCCACACACTAGACTACTGCAACATCGTTTCCCCTGGCGTAAGCCCTCACATTGGAGCCACAAAAGAGAGGAGATGATGATGTGCAGGTTCACGGAAAAAACGTGCTGTTTTTGGATATTGATTAGCGATTGTAAAGGATGCTCAGTTTTTAGTTCAAATTATTTGTTGGCAATATATGATCTATAGGCTAAGAGAGTTTCATAAGCTGTTTAGTCAATTGTGGTGTTATAATAGTGTGAGAATCACAACATCTGGTACAAAATCAATTCTAGCTCTTAAAGGGGCAGTAGCCTACATTGTGTGTACAATTTTCAATTATACCATTATTTAATCTGCAGTTATTCTTCTGCTATTTATTCTGTTACCAATAATATTTACATGTTAATAGGATCTTCTGATTACAATTATTGTCTTATCTTTTAACTAAAGGCAATCTATTAGCTTCAAAAATATAAATAGGTTGGAGTCATTAAAACGTGTTTTTCAACCACTCCACAAATGTCTTGTTAACAAACTATAGGTATGGCAAGAAGTTACAGACATCTACTTTGTGCATGACACAAGTAATTTTTCCAACAATTGTTTACAGACAAATTATTTCACTTATAATTCACTGTATCACAATTCCAGTGGGTCAGAAGTTTACATACACTAAGTTCACTGTGCCTTTAAACAGCTTGGACAATTCCAGAAAATGATGTCATGGCTTTAGAAGCTTCTGATAGGCTAACTGACATCATTTGAGTCAATTAGAGGTGTACCTGTGGATGTATTTCAAGGCCTACCTTCAAACGCAGTGCCTCTTTGCTTGACATCATGGGAAAATCAAAAGAAATCAGCCAAGACCTCAGAAAAATATTTGTAGACCTCCACAAGTCTGGTTCATCCTGGGAGCAATTTCCAAACGCCTGAAGGTACCACGTTCATCTGTACAAACAATAGTACGCAAGTAGAAACACCATGGGACCACGCAGCCGTCATACCGCCCAAGAAGGAGATGTGTTCTGTCTCCTAGAGACGAATGTACTTTGGTTCGAAAAGTGGAAATCAATCCCAGAACAACAGCAAAGGACCTTGTGAAAATGCTGGAGGAAACAGGTACAAAAGTATCTATATCCGCAGTAAAACGAGTCCTATATCTACATAACCAGAAAGGCCGCTCAGCAAGGAAGAAGCCACTGCTCCAAAACCGCCATAAAAAAGCCAGACTACGGTTTACAACTGCACATGGGGACAAAGATAGTACTTTTTGGAGAAATGTCCTCTGGTATGATGAAACAAAAATAGAACTGTTTGGCCATAATGACCATCGTTATGTTTGGAGGAAAAAAGGGGAGACCTGCAAGCCGAAGAACAACATCCCAACCGTGAAGTACGGGGGTGGCAGCATCATGCTGTGGGGGTGCTTTGCTGCAGAAGGGACTGGTGCACTTCACAAAATAGATGGCATCATGAGGAAGGAAAATTATGTGGATATATTGAAGCAACATCTCAAGATATCAGTCAGGAAGTTAAAGCTTGGTCACAAATGGGTCTTCTCAATGGACAATGACCCCAAGCATACTTCCAAAGTTGTGGCAAAATGGCTTAAGGACAACAAAGTCAAGGTATTGGAGTAGCCATCACAAAGCCCTGACCTCAATCCTATAGAAAATGTGTGGGCAGAACTGAAAAAGTGTGTGCGAGCAAGGAGGCCTACAAACCTGACTCAGTTACACCAGCTCTGTCAGGAGGAATGGGCCAAAATTCACCCAACTTATTGTGGGAAGCTTGTGGAAGGGTTACCCGAAATGTTTGACCCAAGTTAAACAATTTAAAGGCAACGCTACCAAATTCTAAATGATTGTATGTAAACTTCTGACCCACTGGGAATGTGATGAAAGAAATAAAAGCTGAAATAAATAATTCTCTCTACTATTATTCTGACATTTCACATTCTTAAAATAAAGTGGTGATCCTAACTGACCTAAGACAGTGTCATGCGACGTGTATGCGGTAGCGAAGTCGAAAGCAGGACACAGAGCGGCTGGCAACGTTATTTACTGAACACAGTAAAATAAACGTACACAACAACAAACCTCCAAAACAGGGAGGAATGCACAAAGACCCGTACATACACGAACTGCCGGAAATGACAACAAACAATAACACAGAAAATACCAAATGAGAGACAGGGGTAAATATAGGGAATACAATCAAACATAATGGGGAACAGGTGTAAACAATAAAGACTAAACAAGACAAACACCGAAACATCGATCGGCAGCAGCTAGTACTCCGGGGACGACGAACGCCGAAGCCTGCCTGAGCAAGGAGGAGGAGCAGCCTCGGCTGAATCCGTGACAGTACCCCGCCCCCCCCTTGACGCGCGGCGCCAGCCGTGCGCCGACCCCGGCCTCGGGGACGGCCAGGAGGACGCGGAGCAGGGCGAGTCGGATGACTCCGGTGGAAATCCCTCAACAGGGAGGGATCTAGAATGTCCCTCCTAGGGACCCAGCACCGTTCCTCCGGACCGTACCCCTCTCACTCCACGAGATACTGCAGACCCCCCATCCGACGCCTCGAATCCACGATGGACCGGACTGAGTACGCCGGAGCCCCATCGATGTCTAGTGGGGGCGGAGGAGCCTCTTGTATCTCATTCTCCTGGAGTGGACCAGCTACCACCGGCCTGAGGAGAGACACATGGAACGAGGGGTTAATGCGGTAATTGATGGGCAGTTGTAACCTATAACATACCTCGTTCAATCTCCTCAGGACTTTAAATGGCCCCACAAACCGCCGACCCAGCTTCCGGCAGGGCAGGCGAAGGGGCAGGTTTCGGGTCGAGAGCCAGACCCGATCTCCCGGTGCATAAACCGGACCCTCACTGCGGTGGCGATCAGTGCTCGCCTTTTGCCGTCTGATAGCCCGCTGCAGATGGATATGTGCAGCGTTCCATGTTTCCTCCGAGCGCCGAAACCACTCATCCACCGCAGGAGCTTCGATCTGGCTCTGACGCCAGGGTGCCAGGACCGGCTGATACCCCAACACACACTGAAAAGGCGTAAGATTAGTGGAGGAGTGAGTTTTGGGCTATCTCTGCCCAGGGGATATACCCCGACCACCCCGTAGTGCCGGAAGACGTGAGTAAACAGGGCGTGGGCCGTTTGTAGGGCTGTAGGAAGGAATGAGACGGCAGGCCTTAGAAAACCGATCCACAACGACCAAGATCGTGGTATTCCCCTGGGAGGGGGGAAGGTCCGTGACAAAATCCACCGATAGGTGAGACCACGGCCGTTGTGGAACGGGTAGAGGTTGTAACTTCCCTCTGGGCAGGTGTCTAGGCGCCTTACACTGGGCGCACACCGAGCAGGAAGAAACGTAAACCCTCACGTCCCTAGCTAAGGTGGGCCACCAGTACTTCCCGCTAAGGCAGTCCACCGTCCAACCAATACCAGGATGACCAGAGGAGGGTGACGTGTGAGCCCAATATATCAGTCGATCACGGACCTCGAGCGGCACGTACCTCTGCCCCTCTGGACACTCTGGGGGAGTAGGGTCGGCACGTAACGCCCGCTCGATTTCCGCATCGACCTCCCACACCACCGGTGCCACTAGACAAGACTCCGGAAGTATGGGAGTGGGCTCAATGGTCCTCTCCTCTGTGTCATATCGTCGGGACAGGGTGTCTGCCTTAGCGTTCTATGACCCTGGTATATAAGTGAGCTTAAATACAAACCGGGCAAGAAACATGGCCCACCTAGCCTGACGAGGGTTCAGTCTCCTCGCTGCCCGGATGTACTCCAGGTTACGATGGGTAGTCAGAATGAGAAAAGGGTGTTTAGCCCCCTCAAGCCAATGCCTCCACACCTTCAGGGCTTGAACCACCGCTAGCAGCTCCCTGTCCCCCACGTCATAATTGCATTCCTCCGGACTGAGCTTCTTGGAATAGAAAGCACAGGGGCAGAGTTTTGGAGGCGTGCCCGAGCGCTGAGACAGTATAGCACCGATCCCCACCTCGGACGCATCCACCTCAACTTGGAACGCCAAAGAGGGATCCGGATGTGCCAGCACCGGAACCGAGGTGAACAGGTCCTTCAGATGTCTAAACGCCCTGTCCGCCTCAGCGGACCACTGCAAACGCACCGGGCCCCCCTTTAGCAGGGAGGTGATGGGAGCTGCTACCTGTCCAAAGCCCCGGATAAACCTCCGGTAGTAATTGGCAAAACCCAAAAACCGCTGCACCTCCTTCACCGTAGTGGGAGTCTGCCAATTACGCACGGCTGAAACGCGGTCAATCTCCATCTCCACCCCTGACGCGGACAACCGATGTCCCAGGAAGGAGATGGACTCCTGGAAAAACAGACATTCCTCCGCCTTCACATACAGGTCATGCTCCAACAGTCTACCCAGCACCCGACGCACCAGGGACACATGCTCGGCTCGTGTAGCGGAGTATATTAGAATGTCATCAATATACACCACTACACCCTGTCCATGCAAATCCCGGAAAATCTTGTCCACAAATGATTGGAAGACTGAAGGAGCATTCATTAAACCGTATGGCATGACGAGGTACTCATAGTGACCCGAGGTGGTACTGAATGCTGTCTTCCACTCATCTCCTTCCCTAATGCGCACCAGGTTGTAAGCGCTCCTGAGATCCAATTTTGTGAAGAATCGCGCCCCGTGTAATGACTCCGTCATACTAGCAATCAGAGGGAGAGGATAGCTGTATTTGATTGTAATCTGATTGAGACCACGGTAATCAATACACGGGCGTAAACCCCCATCCTTCTTTTTCACAAAAAAGAAACTTGAGGACGCAGGGGAAGTGGACGGCCTTATGTATCCCTGTCTCAGAGACTCTGTGACGTATGTCTCCATAGCTGCCATCTCCTCCTGAGACAGAGGATACACATGACTACGAGGAAGGCGAGTGCCAAATCGGCATACTCAGGAGGAATGTGCATTGTGGGAATTTGGTTCGGACTTTCCACCGTCGTTGCCCCTACGGAAACACCTACACACCGCCCGACACACTGATCAGACCATCCCTTGAGAGCCCTCTGTTGCCATGAAATGTTGGGGTCATGAGATGTTAACCAGGGAAGCCCCAACACCACGGGAAACGCAGGAGAGTCAATCAAATACAACTGTATAATCTCCTCATGGCCCTCCTGCATCTTCATCTTAAGTGGCGCTGTGACCTCCCTAATCAATCCCGACCCCAAAGGGCGGCTATCTAGGGCATGGATGGGGAAGGGCACATCAACTGGTACAATAGGAATCCCTAACTTATACGTGAACCGGCGATCGATAAAATTCCCAGCTGCGCCTGAATCTACTAGCGCCTTATGCTGGGAGTGAGAAGAAACCTCGGGAAACACAACTTTAATACACATATGTACAACAGAGAGCTCTGGGTGAGTTGGGTGCTTACTCACCTGGAATGACTCATCAGTGCGTTGCCTACTGCCTCGATTCCTAGGAGACCCTCCCCAGCACAGAACCGCAGTGTGTCCTCTGCGGCCACATTTGGTGCAGCGGACGGCCTCTCTCCTGGTCTCTCTCCTCGTCTCCATAGCACCAGCACCCCCGAGCTCCATAGGGCTCGGCTCGGAAGTGCTGGGGGATGGAATGGACGGCCCCAACTCCGGACGTCCGCGGGTAGCCAACAGGGTATCTAGGCGAATCGACATGTCCACCAGCTGATCGAAACTTAGGTTGGTGTCCCTGCAGGTCAACTCCCGATGAACGTCCTCCCTTAGGCTGCACCTGTAGTGGTCGATGATGGCCCTCTCATTCCGTTCCGCATTGGCAGCCAGAGTCCGGAAGTCCAGTGCGAACTCCTGCGTGCTCCTCTTCCCCTGTCTGAGGTGGAACAGACGCTCACCCGCCGCCTTCCCCTCTGGGGGATGATCGAACACCGCCCTGAAGCGGCGGGTGAACTCCGCATAGTTGATTGTAGCGGCGTCTATTCCCCCCCACTCGGCGTTGGCCCACTCCAGTGCCTTGCCGGACAGACAGGAGATGAGGGCGGACACGCTCTCGTATCCCGAGGGCACCGGGTGGATGGTTGCCAGGTAGAGTTCCACTTGGAGCAGGAAACCCTGACACCCGGCCGCGGTGCCATCATAAGCCCTCGGGAGCGAGAGCCGAATCCCACTGGACTCCGGAGGTGAAGCGATGGGTATAGCTGATGGTGGTGGTATCGTTGGAGGAGGTGTGGGCAAACCTCCTCTTTTTCCCATCGCCTCAAGGTGTTCATCACCCCTTCCATGGCGGTGCCAAGATCCTGGATCATGGCCGCTTGTTGGATAACGCGCTCCTCCAGTGATCCCGCTGGCACCGTCGCTCCTGCTGACTCCATGGATGGTGTGTTATTCTGTCATGCGACGTGTATGCGGTAGCGAAGTCAAAAGCAGGACACAGCGGCTAGCAACGTTATTTACTGAACACAGTAAAATCAATGTACACAACAACAAACCTCCAAAACAGGGAGGAAAGCACAAAGACACGTACATACACGAACTGCCGGAAATGACAACAAACAATAACACACAAAATACCAAATGAGAGACAGGGGTAAATATAGGGAATACAATCAAACATAATGGGGAACAGGTGTAAACAATAAAGACTAAACAAGACAAACACCGAAACATCGATCGGCAGCAGCTAGTACTCACCCGGGGACGACGAACGCCGAAGCCTGCCCGAGCAAGGAGGAGGAGCAGCCTCGGCTGAATCCGTGACAGACAGGGAATTTGTACTAGGATTAGATGTCAGAATTGTGAAAAACAGAGTTTAAATGTATTTGGCTAAGGTGTATGTAAACTTCTGACTTTAACTGTATATCTAGCTGTCTGATAACACATTCTGATGGAATGGCTTGTCCAACACATTGTAAAAACCCAGAGTGCACTGACTGATGTTGGAAAAAAATCTTGGTTCCTTTCTAAACATAGCAATGTGAATGCAAAAAGGACTCAGAACACAAAATAGGTGAAGTGAACTGGCAAAAGAGTTGAGTCCTCTTTCAAGGCAAGGCGGCATTGTGCATACAAAATAGTTATTTTAGTTGTTTTTTTTACCCCACAGTTCACTTTAAAGAGGACTGAGATCAGTTATTTAAAAAATGTCGCCATGGAAGGCCTAAACTCCATCCCACCAAAACAGGCTGAAATTTCAAGCAATCTTTTCAAACAGCTCTTACACTAAAAAGCCATTATCATCATTTTCACAATTTAACAGTATTATTCCAACCTCATAGTGTGGAAATATATATAAAACACAGGAAAATCACGTTTTGGACTGCACCGGGCCTTTAAAGCCCCCATGCAGTCTTTGTAATTTTAATTTTTAATTATCACTGTATGTATCAATATATTTAATTAATGTTTATTTAATGAAAATAACTCCAACCTGTATGTTTAATAATTTATCTCCATTAACTTCCTTTGGCCCTTGAAATGCTCAGTCTGATCCTGTGGGCGTTAGGAAACAAATTTGAAGATATTTACATACACAGCCCTGAATGGCTGATAGGATGGTCTAGAGCCCACCCCCTTACATTTTACATTTTAGTAATTTAGCAGACACTCTTATCCAGAGCGACTTACAGTTAGTGAGTGCATACATTTGTTTTTGTTTTTTTCATACTTACCCAGATGAACAGTCATTGGTCTATTATAATCAGATCACATTGTGACGTGGTCCACCTGAACAGGCTGAAATTCCAGGCATTTTTTTCATACAGGTCTTCCACAAAAAGGGCATTGTCACCATTTTCACAATTTCAGACTGTAATTTCGACCTCATAGTGTGGAAATATCATAAAGAAAACAGGATAATCACATATTTAACTGCACTGCACCTTTAATGATGAGGTCACTCAGAAAGCTTCTGGCCGGTGGCTGGCTGGCTGGCTGGCACGCACACCCACACACACGTTTTGTTCTTTTATCCTTGTGGGGACCTAAAATTAATTTCCATTCAAAATCCTATTTTCCCTAACCCGTATCCCTAACCTTAACACCATAACCTAACCCTAAACCTAACCCTAAACCTAACCACTAACCTGTTACCCTTAAACCTAATTGTAACCTAACCCTGAACCTAACCCCTAAACTTAAAATAGCCTTTGTCCTCATGGGGACATGGGAAATGTCCCCACGAGGGAGAATTTTCCTTGTTTTAAATCCTTGTTTTGATTTTAGATCCCCACAAGGGGACTTGTCATTGTCATATTATTGTAATTTATATGCCGCCCCTCCTATATCTGCTATGTGGATGATATGGATATAGCAACACATTCTATTAATATCACTCTTATTCAATAGATGGTTATGTACATTTACATAACCAACATCACCAGCAGCTTATTGAATGGGGCCAAATGGAAAAACAACAAATATCATGTCGTACCCAGCTCCTACCTCCAGGTGGAAGCATTGAGCACTCCTCTGAAGGCCTGTGAGTTCAGGAAATATAACCTCCAGCCGGCCGAACCAGGGGTGCACTCCCACTACCTCGGGGGCTATGAACACAAACTGTGGCAGGCCGTCAGAGCCTCCTCCACTGCCCTGGGACACGACCTCCATCAGGTAAGACCAGGAACAGGTTGGCTCACCAGAGAGCATTGGGCTCATTTGGACTCTGATTTCTTGTAATTATTATTTTGTAAGGATGAGGACCCTCTCTCGTGCTCTCTGTTTTTTTCCTCATCCAGTCCAATACAATTATGCTTCACCTCATTTTCTATAATGAACAGGCATTATAATTCATAGTAGAATACTTTAAGTTTTATCCTTCTTCACCCAGCAGCAGCCTGTATTTAAAGGACTGAGTGAATTTTATGGCCTCCCTCCAGTGTGTAGCCTAGTTCAAAAATAGTTCATATAATCCTACATAATCCCACTTCCCCTTCCCCATCCCTGTAATACACTTCCGGAGTTTTGGATTAATGTGAAAACCATCAGTGCGGTTTCGTCAGCATTTGTTTGCAGGTAGTTACATTTGGACAGAGAACAGGAAGAGTCAGACAGACTTGTGCGACCCGAATGGCGGCATATTCCGTACATAGTGCACTACTTTTTACCAAAACGAATTCACTATATAGGGAATAGGATGCCGTTTGAGACGCAACCTGCCTGAGAGACGTTTAACAGGCATCTAAAGAGACAAGCCATTAGACAGGACAAGAGCTCAGCAACCACAAATACCTACAGTGCCTTCAGAATGTATTCATACCCCTTGACTTATTCCACATTTTGTTGTGTTAAGGCCTGAATTCAAAATAGATTCATCTACACACTATACCACATAATGACAAAGTGAAAACATGTTTTGCATTTATTGAAAATGAAATACATAAATATCTCATTTACATAACTATTCACACCCCTGACGCAATACTTTCTAGAAGCATTAGCAGCGATTTTCAAGCAGATTTAAGTAAAAACTGTAACTCTGCCGGCCACTCAGGAAGTAATCTTGGTAAGCAACTCCAGTGTATATTTGGCCTTGTGTTTTAGGTTATTGTCCTACTGAAATGTGAATTCATCTCCCAGTGTCTAGTGGAAAGCAAATTGAACCAGGTTTTTCACTGCTCGACTGAGGGACCTTACAGATAATTGTATGTGCGGGGTACAGAGATGAGGTAGTCATTAATACATCATGTTAAACACTATTATTGCACACATAGTGAGTCCATGCTGCTTATTATGTGACTGGTAAGCATATTTTTACTCCTGAACTTATTTAGGCTTGCCATAACAAAGGGGTTGAATACTTATTGACTCAAGACATTTCAGCTTTTCATTTCTTATTGATTTGTAAATGTTTAGAGAAAAAAAGAATAATTCCACTTTGACATTATGGGGAATTGTTTTGTCACTGGCCTACACACATCTCAATTTAACCCATTTTAAATTCAGGCTGTAACACAAGAAAATGTGGAAAAAGTCAAGGGTTGTGAATACTTTCTGAAGGCACTGTACATACTGAAGCCCTTTCCCCCCCTCCCCACTCTTGATACACACAGGAAACTGTTTAGCGTTAAAAACCCATCAGCGTTGCAGTTCTTGACACAAACCGGTGCGCCTGGCACATACTACCATGTACCCGTTCAAAGGCAGTTAAATCTGTTGTCTTGCCCATTCACTCTATGAATGGCACACATACATAATCCATGTCTCAATTGTCTCAAGGCTTAAAAATCCTTCTTTAACCTGTCTCCTCCCCTTCATCTACACTGATTGAAGTGGATTCAACAGCTGACATCAATAAGGGATCATAGCTTCCACCTGGATTCACCTGGTCAGCCTATGTCATGGAAAGAGCAATGTCTTAATGTTTTGTGAACTCAGTGTATGTTTTGTTATTTTATCCTCGTGGGGACCTAAAATTTAGCAGGCGCCATCGACAGATCAGTTGGAAAAAGTGATGGGCTACTTTCTGCACATGCCACGGTCCGTGTGAACCGGAGTGACTTGACACAAGGCCGTCCAACCAAGATGTAGCTACAAACAAAACGGAGTTAAATGCTTCCAGTCTGCCGTGAAGTGTTCATGCATGTATACGGGTAGGAGTCTAGCTACATTTTCAGATAAGTTTCTAATTTTGTCAGTCATTTTCATTGTAAGTTAAAACGTACTGTTGGCTAGCTAGCGAACCTTAGCTTGCTGGCTGGCTAGCTAGCGAACCTTAGCTTGCTGGCTCGCTAGCTAGCGAACCTTAGCTTGCTGGCTCGCTAGCTAACGTTACGCGTATGAACCTTAGCTTGCTGGCTCGCTAGCTAACGTTATGTGTATGAACATTAGCTTGCTGGCTCGCTAGCTAACATTACGCGTATGAAGCTTAGATTGTTGGCTCGCTAGCTAACGTTACGTGTATGAACCTTAGCTTGTTGGCTCTCTAGCTAAGGTTACGCGTATGAACCTTAGCTTGTTGGCTAGCTAGCGAAGGTTACGTGTATGAACCTTAGCTTGTTGGCTAGCTAGCTAAGGTTAAAATCAATTTCCATTCAAAATCCTATTTTACCTAACCCCTAACCCTAAACCGTACCCTAACCCTAACCCCTTACCATAACCCTAATTCTGTCACACCAGCATTCACTTTGGCTCCCCCTCCTGTCCAGCTCAGGCGTTCGACGTCGCCTGCCTTCTAGCTGCTGCCGAACCTACTGCTGGCAAACGCCCTTCACTCTTCAACCCCGGACTTGTCTCGTCATCATTTTACACACCTGGTTCCAATCCCCACTCTATCACTATATATAGTCCCTCTGCCATTTGTCTTTGTTGGTCATTGTAAATGTTACTTGTTTTCCTGAGAGGAATCTCTCCTACTATTTCCTGAGTACTTTATAATTTGCACTTTGGGTTCGCCTTTTGTTTATGAAGATATATTTTGAGCACAACAGAGTTTGGGTTTCGTCCCGCTTTGATCTATGGTGCTTAAATACATTCAGTAGTTCTAAACCTGCGACTGCCTGCTCCTCTCTACACCAGTGACAAATTCTAACCCTAATTCTAACTCTAATTGTAACCATGACGCTAAACCTAACCCCTAAGCTTAAAATAGCCTTTGTCCTCATGGGGACGTGGGAAATGTCCCCACGAGGGAGACTTTTCCTTGTTTTACTATCCTTGTGGGACTTTGGGTGATTTTACACCCCCACAAAGATAGAAGAACTCTCCCCCCACACACATGCTTTTCAGTAACCTGGCTACTAGAGACATCAAGTCATAATGTTTGCCTCAAACTGTAGGTGACGGATGTGTGTAGTTTCTTATGCCTGGGTTGGAATTCTCATAATGTCATCCTCCCAAATTGGCTTAGGAAACACAGATGTAGCATACGCACATCGCACGGAGGTGAGATCCACACACACGTGTGTTTTCATCAAAGATGGGAATCCCATGCTCCCACACTTTTAATTGGATCCAGTGTAAATTGTGTAGGTGAGCTCGGAAAACTCGTGCTGAGAAATGAAACGGAATGGTTGATGAAAACCTCGCTGCTGCGCTGCATTGGGAATTCTCCTTCCTAGCCTTCCTACCGTCTTCCAAGTCTCCCCCCTCTTCCAGAGACTCATATAGTATCCCAACACAGACCCTCCTCCACACACACACATACACACCTCCCCATCCCGCACCTTTTGGCATCTACATCAGACTCGTTAAAACAGAGAAGCATGTGTTTGTTAAATCTCTGTTATCGCACTCGGTGCTAGCTAACTGGGGAAAACTCTTATCTCTCACTGGGAAAGTGGGACACCTTAGGTAGTTAAACTGTTCACCCCGCTATCATCCAGAAGGCGAGGTCAGTACAGGTGCATCAAAGCTGGGACCGAGAGAATGAAAAACAGCTTCTATCTCAAGGCCATCAGACTGTTAAATAGCCATCACTAGCACATTAGAGGCTGCTGCTGCCTATTGAAATCACTGGCCACTTTAAGAAATGGAACACTAGTCACTTTAATAATGTTTACATATCTTGCACAACTCATCTCATATGTATATACTGCATTCTATTCTATAATATTCTACTGTATCTTAGTCCATGCCGCTCTGTCATTGCTTGTCCATATATGTATATATTCTTCAATCCCATTCCTTACTAGTTTTGTGTGTATTGGGTATATGTTGTGAAATTGTTAGATATTACTGCACTGTCGGAGCTAGAAGCAGAAGCATTTCGCTACACCCGCTATAACATCTGCTAAACACGTGTATGTGACAAATACAATTTGATTTGATTTGATTTTTAAAATGACACCGGAGTTATACCAAGTTCTTGTCATTGAGGGAGGAATTGATGAGGAATTCTAAAATTGTATAGTTGAGATGGAAAAGGAAAAAGGAATGGCAATTAAGTCTGTCTGCACAGCTATTTGGCAAATGTACTATACATTGAGAAATGTGGCTAAACTTAACAAAAAGAAGAAGAAACTGTACTACGAAACAAAGATAAATGATATAAAGGATGATGGTAAACAGCTTTGAAGTACATTAAATTACATTTAAGACGGACTATCCTACCGATCCTTGATTTCGGCGATGTCATTTACAAAATAGCCTCCAACACTCTACTCAGCAAATTGGATGTAGTCTAACACAGTGCCATCCGTTTTGTCACCAAAGCCCAATATATAACCCACCATTGTGACCTGTACGCTCTTGTTGGCTGGCCCTCAATACATATTTGTCGCCAAACCCACTGGCTCCAGGTCATCTATAAATCTCTGCTAGGCAAATCCCCTCCTTATCTTAGCTCATTGGTCACCATAGCAACACCCATCCGTAGTATGCGCTCCAGCAGGTATATCTCACTGGTCATCCCCAAAGCCAACACCTCCTTTGGCCGCCATTCCTTCCAGTTCTCTGCTGCTATTGACTGGAACGAACTGCAAAAATCTCTGAAGCTGGAGACTCTTATCTCCCTCACTAACTTTAAGCATCAGTTGTCAGAGCAGCTTACCGATCACTGCACCTGTACACAGCCCTTCTGAAATTAGCCCACCCAACTACCTCATCCCCATATTGTTATTTATTTTGCTCATTTGCACCCCAGTATCTCTATTTGCACATCATCTTCTGCACATCTATCACTCTAGTGTTAATACTCAATTGTAATTATTTTGCACTATGGCCTATTTATTGCCTTACCTCCATAACTTACTACATTTGCACACACTGTAAATAGATTTTCTATTGTGTTATTGACTGTATGTTTTGTTTATTCCATATGTAACTCTGTGTTGTTGTTTTTATCGCACTG